CGGTAGTAGAGGGTTGTTGTAGCATTAGCGTCATTCGTTGTGCAGTTGATCTCAAAATTGGAATCATAGGGAACCAAGTAAAACTTGCTTGGTGCGCTTAGGAATTTAAATTCTGCTGATACTGCAAGAAATAAAACAAAAATAAAAAACACAAAAATTGGCTTAAAAAATGGTTCTCAGAGCCAAAGGCAATAAGCAATAGGAGATAGGTCATTGCGAGATATAACAATAGTTGGAACTAGTGATTCGCGTTTCTTATTATTCTCGCAAAGAACACGTAGGTTAGCGTCGAGTATTACACCTTGAATATTCGTGTTAAGATATATGTCCATTAGTTGGTTTGCCTTCCCRTCTTGGAATGACCTGGTACCGTTATCTCATTTGGCTTCGAGGTGTCTTATACAAGATAAACAGAGGATAGTAGCCAATCAATCTAAAATAGAACTCCTTGACTCCTTCCACTGAAGTTCCCTCCCCCTGTTCGCTAACTAATGAAAGGAAACCAATAAAAGAGGGTGCTAAATGAGGGGTGCAAATCCAATTACCCACCCAAAGGTTTAAGCAAGTTTCACTTCCCTGAGTCTAAAATCCCAAACTTTTTTCTTAAATAAAAAACCTTTTCCTATTCACATTTTCTTCTCATTTCCAGTACACTAAATCCTATTTCCCCCAGGGCAACTGAAATAGGCAAATCAAAGGGGCGTAGCTGGTAAGTCGAATTTATCACATGACTACATAGATGCTTTGGTTTCCACAGCATGAGAATGGGGGGGTCAAGGCTGTGCACCCCCTCCTGGCCCTTCTGGCTACGCCCCTGATTTTACCCCTTTCCCCTTACAGGAACCTCATGCAACTATCATCGAACCTAACTAACAAACCAAGAGGATGTTTGAACAGCTGTGAGCCTGACAAAATTAGGTTGTTTTCCTGCAAGCAGAGTCTTACCTCTTTTACTCCCTTTGTTAGGCAGGAAGTAAAATAGACTGCTCAACAAGCAAGAAACTTGTTTACTGATTAATTAAATTGTTAATTAAGTTGTTAACAATATTACTGATCAAATTGTAYTGAAAGTGGTCTTTCAGTTAACATGGGATATGAGGCTTCATCATCACATTTACTTTTTCATTACTCTCTCTTCAGTCTCACCTCTGGGGAGTCGGGTTCAATTCCTGAACCCAACAGCACATATGAGCAAAGTTTGTTCCTCAAGTTCTCCTATTTTCCTTCTTTGAGAAAATCCAATTCAATTTGAATTCGATCTGAGTGTTAGACATGCCCTCACTTAATAATTCATCCCTGAGCAGTGAGGTTGTCTTGGTTTAGGGTTTAAAATATTAAAGCAAAAATACTAGRAACATAACAGGCTCTAAATATATAACCTGACTTCCATGAGAGACTGTCAAAAACATAAGACCTGTTGTAAAGCCTCTATCCTCTGATCTTCAATATTTGTCCTCTGACAAAACCATTATGTAAAACCGAATCAAACCTTCAATATACGAACAATGCATGGTCTAGTAACAATGCATGGTCTAGTAACCTTTTTACTGAAAATAAGAACCTATTATTCATAAAATCCACATTTTGAGAATGCAATGGTGCAAAAAAAGGTTTTGAGGAAGTACTCTCGATGGCAAATTGTTTCCAATTTTCAAGTTTTCGAACATGAAATTCAAAATTATAAAAAGAAATTTTATGAATGATTTATGTAAGTCTAGCCAGTATTCTAATGGAATTAGTTATAAAAAGGCACCATCTCTGCACATTGCATTGTTGATAGAAAACAGACTATCGATTTCATGAAGATTTTATCATTTGATAAATGAGGCAAAGCACTTCATTTTTCTTGATTACTTGAAAGACACTTTCAAATATCTTTAATTCCTGTCGCGCAAAACAATATACAAAAGAATTATTTTAGACGAAACACGAGGACTAATCAGACCTCGCAAAACACTTCAAACATCTAAGTTTGGTGAAAAATTTTGCTAAATCTATACTCTAAAGAAATTCCAAGACTGAAGAATGGAAGTATGCTTTCTTATACTCTATTTCTCTCAACGATAATGCGTTAAAGTTTTCATTAAAACTACTGTAATAGTATAGAGAATAAATTATATGAAGGAGGAAATATGTTGTGCTTCTATTAGAAACGTTTAATAAACGATACTTCGCGCGTGCTGTAGCCAGTGGGTTGCGATAAAGACTCATCGAATTTGTGACAATCATATCAGAAGGATAAAAGTGTTATAGCACTCCATATTGAATGTCTTCTGAAGCCTTACAGTGTTCAAGTCACGCCAGAAGGTTAATTCTTATTACAAATCAGGGTTACAAGTGCAAACGATTCCGCTTTGAAGACTTTATCGAATTTTTGACACAGATTAATCTCCTTTTAGTCTCTTAATGTTTTTTTTCTTCAAAAGACGATTTCAAAATACTGTTTTGTTGATTGTAAGTGTGTTGGTAACATTCCTTTTGAGCTGTTTTGCCAACGATGGAGTCGAGGTTTAGCATCAAAATGTAAGCTTAAAAGATGGTTTAACAATATACTAGCTTCTACTAAATTCTATATAAATGTACAGCAGCTCCTAAACTCCTGAATGGAGTCGACCTTACCTTGAACAGTTTGGGAGGAAAGGAGAAGAAGAAGAAGGAGTTTACACGTAAAGTTCACGATCCAAGGAACGGACTTCCCAAGCCACGCCATTTTGCAATCACCACACACCGAGATTCCTTCTGATATTAACCCACTAGAATTGTAGAATACTGTTCCACGCCATTCAAAGATGACATTTTAAAAACGTCTAAATGAATATGTACAAGTAATATTTGAAATACGTAGTTCTAATAGAGCAGGAAAAATAGGAATGAAGTCATCGATGTAAGCCCCACCATAAACACTGACAATGATGATGCTTCATCCGTTAGCGTGATATCACAAAATCTTGCGTTACATCTAATATGGCGTTACGCTCATTAAAAAAGTCAACATCAAATTATGAAATGTATGATTGAATCACATGCTACGTTTAGCATTTTTATTACTTATAAAATATTAATTCAATTTATCATTTATAATGAAATACTTATAAATGCCAGTAGCGGTCGAAAAGTGGGGGAAAAATTAACAAACTTGATCGAAATTTAACCCCGATATTCAATTATTACTTTGACTATTCTCATGATTTAAAAAAAACTACTTATTGAAAATCATCATCAACATTCGATCTGTGAGTTAACACCATATAGAGTGTGTTCATGGCAGCCATGTTGGTTGATTAAACAAAAGAATTTTTTTCCCTTGGGAACTGAATAAGTTTTCTTGTCATGCAAAAAYATTGCATTATTTCTGGCACCAACATGGCTGCCGTGAACACACTCTATACCGGAGATAGGACTTAGTCATAGAAATGACTTGAGCGTGTCAAGATTAATGATTACTCTCCCTATGATTAAACCGATCTAGCCAAAGATAGATGTAGTTTCTTTTGTAGCGATGTTCGTAATTGTTTTCAAATGTTATCTGTAACATTATATCATGATCATGATCATYATCGATCATCATTATCTTCGACGTCATCGTCATCATCAATAATTAGTTTCCATAGCATTCTTTTAATTAATTAGTTTCTAAATCTTCCCATAGTTCAGAGCATATATAGACTATTACTTATAATCATGTCTCGCTTGGCAGAGTAATCGATATAGTACGAAGGATCCAATGGTAAGTCAGGACATAACTTCCTCTTTACACAAGGAACCTTGGGCCGGAAAGGGAGAGTGAGGGCGTTACGAGGTACAAGATTAGGACAAGCTGCCAATCTCTGGTTTGATAATATTATTAAAGCAACGAGGTTATCCAACAAAATTATTGATTAATATTAAATTAATGATAGCTATTAATATTGTTTTCATTGTTATCTATTGTTACCATTTATTATTAGAATTTTTATTTATTTATTAGAATTACTAGTAATCATTACTATCATCATTGTTATTATTTTATGGCGATGGAACAATTCTTTATCATTGTCAAGGAAGGGCTGGGTTTAAATCTTTGGCTTGGCTGTGTTCAAGTTTACTGAAACAAAAACAGTAATCGTAATAAACAGCATGCCAACACTCAACATACATAACGGAAAGTACAAACCCACTGCGCCTTAACTGTACGTTCCGTGACCTTGCGGTTTCCTGAAACTGATGTATTTGGATGGACAAATATCTCTTCTATGAGAACAGTTCTACTTTATCATGCATGTCGCATAGCTCTCAAAAGTGTGGATAGCGTGCCTCTCAGCACGATGTGTGTGTGTGGAAAGGTGGGGGGGCGGCTCTCAGATCATAATTTTTAACCCTGGTTCTTGGAATATTTGTAATGCTACGTAACACTTCCAGTTGCTAAGATCTTCCAGGTCAATAACCCGGAAGACAAAAAATACACACTTGATGAATCGAAATTTAAGAAAACAAAAACTTTAATTAAACTTGCTGTACAACTTTGCGCTGTAAAAAGTACAAAAAACTATATTAAGTATTATTAATAATGCTATAGCCACAGCATTGACGCTGGCTTGTGAATAGATATGCTTAAAATTCCCTATATTACTCATTACCTGACTTTAATTACAATATTCTTAATTCTTAACATACGCGAAGCCTACATTCTGATTGGCTATCCTGTCGTTATAGCAACCAATATCGTGAACGAACTCACTATAAACAAGAAAGAACTTGTTTGCCTTGCGCTTTTAGCAACATTTTTTTWAACCATTTTTGACGAGTCCCGATTAATTTGCTTCCTTCAAGACCTCTTGCGTATTTGCTCGCTACGCATTAGAGGATCTAAGGCTATCCCAAGTGCCTTTGTAGCTTCGTAACTTGCTACGACTATGGGCTTATGGGAATCAATAATAAAACAAGAATGTTATATAGGTTGCGATCTAAAATATATACTATATCAAGGGGTAGCTAGGACATTTTTACGATCAACATTAAAGTTTGCAAAAGAAATATATTATATCAATAAATACTGCTGAGAAAACAGAGATGGTTTCTCGTACCTTGGAAGAAAAAATCCTTAGAAACTAGATTTCTTTTTCTGACGAAAAACCCCCAGGAGGTGTACTCGGGTGGGTAACATGACGGGAAGGTCCGAAGTATTTTTTTGGGTTGACAGTTTTCGTTCCCGGTATTTTTTTGGGTCAAGAGACCACCCTCGTATTTTTTTAGGTCTCGAAATGAAACCCGTATTTTTTTGGGTCGTCACATCTCCGAGTTCGATTTTYGTATCAGAAAATTATTTGAAGAGCCTGTTGAATTCAATAAATCAGTTTTGAAGTATTTAAGTATTGTATTTTTTTGGGCCAGAAATTTGGATGCCATGTATTTTTTTGGGTGTAAAATTTCAGGTTTGAGTATTTTTTTGGGGTTGCAATATGAAGCTCCGCCCCCCCCCCCCGTCATGTTACCCACCTGAGTACACCCCCTGGGGAAAAACCATCCTACGAATTCGAGTCTCAGGCACATGGCCAACTAGGGGGTACTACTTTTTTCCCGAAAACATCAATTGTACATTTTTTAAATATGTATACTATGGGCTATACATTTTAACCTTTCTAACACTTGGATATTTCATATTTTTATGGTTCTGGTTCCTCTTTAGTAGGGCTGGTTAGTTTACAGACAAGATAAACGACCATTTGCCCCTGACTGCTGACAGTCTTCTTTTCTTTTTCTTTTGCTGGATCGGTATTCGTGAGGAAAAGGAGACTTTTTTCTCCCCGAAAAAAAAAAAAAAAAAGAGTCTGCCAGCAGGGAACACTTGCTCCTGATTGCTGACGTTTTTGATCTCATGCGAGAAACTTTACTGTCAGTCAAGTGGTTAACTAAGAGAATGTTGCTTTCCCAGCCGCTTCCTTGTGTGTGTACATCAAGTCTATAAGCCAAGTAACATCCACGTTTCGGTGTGAAGGAAGTGTTGATATACTGTTACTCTTCATTCCTAATCCAATCGCCTGTAAGCGCTATAGCATTGTCTAAACATTACCCACTATAATGTTGAGGTCTGGTTCAGCCTTGTACAAAAACATTTCATGGTTTGTAGGTCTTTTCGGATCAACCGGAATCGGTGTCGTTGCATTAAGAAACAGGACACGTTTCTTTTCTATTACGTTCGTGTTGACTCCTCCCTGATCTACACCGATGATTCGATATCCCGTTTTCCCTTCTTGCCTTTTGTCGAGGGTGAAAAAGTAGGCTCATCATAACCAARCTGTACTAACAGTGGTTCATTTTCTTCAGCGTCTCTGTCTTTATCCTTCTCGTCGATGTCAATACCACTTTCATTGCTGCTCTCACTAGCGTTTCTGTATTCAGGATTCGCGTGTGATTTTTGGGTAGCTTCTTCGTACGTCGGTGGAATACTTGGAAGCGGTGAGTTTGGCATTGTGTAGCCTGGAGATTCTGGTTCACTCGGTGGAATAGTTGGCAGAGGAGAATTATAACTACAAACAAAACAAAGATATGCTAGTTAGCTCTATCCGTATGCATGCAAATTACTGATTTTATTTCTGGAAAGAATTCACCTCTTAAAAATACCAAAATATATCTAGAGTGTGTGAACTTCGCCTCACTCTTGAGAGAAAACAAAAGCAGAAATTAGGATAACTACACAAGCAACCCCTTAATTCGAGGCTAAGCCCGCGCAGTCTAGAAATTATGGTATTTAAGAGTAGTGAAGGTAAAACTAAAACAAGACCCCTTGCATTGATTTCGTAGATAAATTGTTCTGGGGGTTAAAACAATGCAAAAAAAAAATCCATTGTCTCGTACGGCAGAACAATTCCTCTCGGGATTCAGTGCAAAGGGCCAATAAAGCCACCTTAAAAATCAGTTTATGAAGAATTCCCACTTGGAAAGGCTTATAAGAGGGTATCTGCCTTACAGACTTTCCAAGTTTTGTTCACGAACGGAACTTTAAACTAGATCTTAGGATACGAAAATAACCGTTTAAAGTAAGGACAAAAACCATGAACACTTTGAGCTTTTTTCAGGTTATTATTTCGTGAACTTTCTACTTTTTCAAACCCTGTAAAATGAAACATTGAGTGCAAATACAAAATAATCTCCTTACCAATTGATTGACTCAAGGGATGGTCTAAAGTGTGAATTTTAAAAAGTGACAAAAAAAAAAAACTGAAGTGTTCACGGTTCTCACTGTAATAAAAGGTAACTGAGATTACTTTGTTGATGACTGTGTAACAGGCGAAGGAAGAGCCTCTTCATAACCGTCAACTGTTTTTCTATTTCTCATGTTTGAATCACATGGATTGAGGTAATAGTCAGTTGCTCCTGAAACTTCATCAACTTGCAGTTGAAGGTAAGGATTGTCCTGTTTATCAAACCACACAAAAACCATTTCGTTATACAACACTTCCATTATCAAATAACTGACATAAAACAATATGCCGAGACAAAAGGTGGTCCACAAAGATTAATACGTTTTCACCACATTTTTCCTCTTTCATAGAGTTTTTTTTCTTGTCAAGAAATACAAAAAGACTCTGAGCAAAAAAGTTCAGTAATGAATTCATACTAAAGGCCTGTATTCATCAAAAAGAGAAAACTTGCCATTCAAAATAATGATGCTGA